AGTCTATCCCATCGATGGGAACCCAGCGATGGTAAGGGTATACCATCGATGGGAAGGCATGACCGTTGGTGGTCATTAAAGGTTGATTCTTTCCTTGTTTGGAAGTCAACCTCCCACCCAGCGATGGGAAGCTTGTACCCATCGATGGGTAGGTGACCGTTGACTTCAAAACAGAAGAAAAATTGGCTTACCAGCGATGATTGATTCTAAACATCGATGGGAAGCCAATATTCTGCAGATCCCAAATCTTTTCAATCCCATAAATCAAGCTAATCACTCCTTTAATGCATTGGTCCGTTGGAGCCTAATTTTGCACTATAAAAAGGGGTGTTTGGGTCTGCTTTTATCACCAATTCACTTCACAATATTCATACTTTCATTGCATTCAAATAACATCATTTTCATAGCTTTCTAGAGCCAATTTGTGTGAAGTTTGAGTTGTTCTTGAGCGTATATATTTTACTCATATCCACTCTTAAGGAGAGTCTTGTTCTTGAGTGTCTTAGTGTTGTATACACGTTAAGGGAAGCTTGTTTCCCTTGGTTGTACGAAGGAAAGGTATGTTCAACCGTTTTTCCAAGATAGTCAATGATCTTCATGCTCTCAAGAAGACTTACACCGACAGGGATCTTGTGCGAAAGATCCTACAGAGCTTGACATCTGAATGGCGATCCAAGGCCGATGCCATATATGAGTCAATCGGCACATCAACTGTCACCATCGACGGTTTAAGAGGTAATTTAAAAACTTATGAATCTACTATACTTAACCCATCTTTGAATGACCAGAGAAAAGGCATAGCATTAAAAGCCTCCAAAGAACCGACAATGAATGACTCAAGCGACGAAGATGAAGTCAAGCTAATCATGAAGAAGTTTTGCAAACTTCTAAAGAAAGAGAAGGTTGAGGATGGCCCTGTGTGCTATGGATGTGGTGAAGCCGGGCACATCAAGAACAAATGCCCGAAAAGCGGAAGGAATGCTCGGCACTTCAAAAGGCAAAGGGCATATATCTCTTGGGGTGGCGACTCCGGAGACGAGTCAACCGATCAAGACGAGGATGAAACTTCCAACCTCTGTCTCATCGCGCACGAAGACCAAACCGACGATGTACAAGAGGTATGTACCATCTCTTCCGACTCTTACACCTTTGAAGAAATGCAAGAAGCACTTCATGAACTTTATGATAAATTTGTTAGCGCTTCTAAAATCAACAAATCGTTAAAGAAACGCCTCTCCACTCTTGAAAATGATTTTGAAAATCTGGAAAAAGATAATGAGAAGTTAAAACAAGAGAATAAATTTTATGGCAAAAGAAGCGCCGACAAAC